ACGAATCTATCAAGGACCTAAAGTACGGCCAAGCGTAATAATAGCTTAAGAGAGAGAGTTGCCTAAAAAGCGAACGCGCGCTAGTCAGAATCACTGACTCTCTAACGAAGTCAGCAGAACTTCACAGTTAAATACTTCTCCTCTTTTGCATTCAAACGCGATTCTGAAAATACTTCTGGTCGGAAATTGTAAGTCGAAATTTAGGAATATAGGAAAGTAACTTTTAACTAATAAAGATTAACTGTTAGAAAAATTAACATAAACCTTGCAAAGTTTTCTGGGAACGCATCTCTTAAGCCTAATAGTCCTAACTGAGCCAAACGGATGCCACTAACTAAAAATGCATTTCTAAAGTTAAAACAAAAAACAAATAGAGCAGCAGAAAAAGAAGTTTAATTAAAATTACTAAAATAACCACAAGCGAGTTAACTCCGAATGACAACAAAAAGTGCTATTAGCAAAATTTATAAACTAAATCATAGATTGTAATTATTATTATTTCTCCTTGGCATAATATATAACTCAAACAACAATTTACATGACATCTTCTCCAATATAGCATTTAAATGTAAAAGACCTTTTAATGTCTTAAACATAATTTCTAAACATAACAGCAAATGTAATAAGAATTTTACCAGTAATATATACGAGCAAAATAAAAAATAGAGATAGTTTTATTTCCTTAAAATTTATTAAAAAATTCATATATAACTAAAAAATATATAATGCATTAAGCAATGACTATTAAAATATACTTGCATTGTTTTATTTGGAACACAATGAGTTGAAACTTAGAAGTTGTTGAAAATAATGATGTTGAAAAGGAAATGCTTAGTAACATGCATGTTTTCAAGTACTCAGAGACATAAGAGGCTTCAAATAAGGGTTTCTCTCTACTAATAATTAGAGAGTTAGGTCAGAAATACTCGCGGCGTAGTAATAAAAGTTCTGTTTCACATTCTCCCCAAGTTAGTAAACTTCTAGGCAAGATGTTCGTTTTCGTTATGATTTTCAGATATACTAGCAACGTTTTCCTACATTTTACGTTATATATTCAAATCTTAGGCAAATCGAAAAAGAGCGTGGAAGGGCAGATCTGTTAATTTTCTGCAGTTTATTCTAAAATACAATCTCCAGTACAAGTTCCAAAATATTATAATGCTAGCTCGAACTTTTGTCTCGGTTGCTGTGATAATTATGAGAAAAGTCTTCCAAGTAAAGATCATTTAAGAACTATAAATATATATTTTGTATTTTTTTTAAAAAATCTTTCTCTATTGTCTCTATAGCAAGAGCAATCAAATGGACCGCTACGGTGTTAATCAAATGGACTGCTGCGGTTGTTTTATAAATTAATAAGTAAGTAAATAAATAAACAATGAAAGAAAAATTAAAATATGAAGGTTTTCAGATTTCATATTATGCCCAATAGGGCGTTTTTGTTAATGTTTTATGTGTCACCTTTGTTTATTAAATATCACGTTCTTCCAACTTAAACGACATAAAATTCAATTCAACAACAATATCACAAAATATTTGAAAACAGCATATCTTTAGAATTTCCGATAGACAGTATCGCGCCCTTGAGATAAGTGTGTTTTATTCGCCACAGTTTTGCCACTTCGCGCTTTGAGATTTTTGAGTTTTTTTATCAGAAATGCGTTAAAGTTGTACAAAATATGACATACATATCAATAAAACAAATTCCAAATTGGGCTTCGAAGTGCCCTTGTTTGCGTGGAGGATTACGTTATTCCAAATTTGATTTCTCTAGGTTCCGTCGTTTTTTTTTTTTTTTTTTTTTTTCACATTGCAAGAAACATACCTACATTCATGCATATTCCCTTTCTTTATTTTTTAAATAATACAGAGCGACAATATTTGTTGGCAATAATTTGAAGTGGTTCAGCCTTTCACAGTGATTCAACGCAAACTTCCATTTCGAGACAAATAGCCCTTCTGAACTAACGCTCCTTTGAGCTAAAAATATACTTTTAAAATTTTGGAATTAAAGTTTGTTTTTCTCAAAATGAACTTATTAATTCTCTGATTAATTCTTGATTCTCTGATTCACTCTCTGAGTGAGTGAGGTCACAAACAGAAAACACTGTACCATATTTAAAAACATTTTAAAAGAAATTCTTTAGGGTTTATTTAAGAAGCGTAAGTAAAATATTTCAGAACATGTAATATTATATTAGTTGAATTAATGATCATTTATATAAAGATGAAACATAAGTAATTTACATTTTACTTTCATTTTTAATCATCATTTTCATCCTCGAAACTTTTCATTTTCTTTCTAATAATATTTTTCATAAAAAATTACTTTAAAATTCTTTAAACTTAGAATATAATTACAAAACTTTTCTTCAGTTTCATTAATTTTTCAATTTCACACATACTTAAATACTTGCAAATTAACGAAGAACGAAAGTGACGAAATATACTCATTCTATTTTTTTCCAAAAAAAATTTTTTTTTTATTTAGTGCTTATGATATGCAAAATCGCTTAACATTTAACCTTGCTTAGATTAGTGTCACTTTTATGGAAAGTATGTTAGTAGAAATTATTTAGTGTTTTAGAAAAATATTACAAAACCTTATTGTAATATTTTTCTAAATCCCGACGTAGAACTCAACTTGAATCTTGCTCTTTTTGTTTAGATAATAATACTTGGTAATTCTGATTATTCATTTCTATTGAAATAACATTATTATATACATCGTTATATATGAAATGAATTTCCTTCTATAAAACTGCCGCGATTTTTGGATATTAAGCAGTGGCACAGCTAGAATTTTTGCCGCCCCTTAAATTGCTCATGGTCCTTGAATTTACAGCCCCTCTTAATACACATACACACATACACACAAAAAAAAGCCACAACGAAGAAGTGTCAAAATGACTTTCAGTGAAATAAAAATTTACGCTTATTTTCGAAGGAAATCTTTAGTTACCACATTTCTGAATTGTATAATTATTTTGCTTGTTTTTTTGTTTAGCAAATCGTGTTGTTTGCAAATGTAGAAATCTATCTGATTGTTGTTGCTGTTATGTAGATAGTACAGAAAGATTTCTTAAATGTAAAATATATATTTATAGCTCACGCTTTCCTCAATTAGCAACATTTATAGCAACTCAAAGGAAGGATCGTACTAGTATTACAATATTTGGAACTTTGACTAATTTTTGAAGATTAAATTGAAAAAATTCAAAACGGCTGCCTTTTCACGTTACTTTTTGTTCACGTTCTTCCATATAAATCGCTCACATTCACTCACGTTCTTCCATATGAATGTTCCTAGAGTTACGATTTGGTTGGTATTCGTAATTTCCATTGAAAAGCTTTGGAGAAATAAAAAAAAAGTATAGCAAAAATATGTAGCTGTTGAAATTACTTGGGAATTTCTTTGAATACTTCATAGACTAAAAACTCAGTTTCCTCTCTTCGTGCCCACCAGCAGCCGAGCGGTAAAGTCGCTGAACACTGGTAGTTCGGTCCGAGGTTCGAATCCCGCGAACGGGCTGGCTGCATGGGCGTTTTCGTGGTTTTCCCCATGTGTAACGTGTATACGAGCCAGTTTCCCTTAGAAAGTCCTCCACGAAAGGCATCCCTCCCCTTAGGCAGATAGCCCTCGTGTGCTTTGCCATAATTAAATACACCAACACCAACCTCTCTTCGTATGGCAATTTAGAATCTAATATCGCTTGCCTCGACGATTCATCTGATTAACCTCTGTAAAATAATGTTCCAAGCTAAAAATGCCGCCCTTAAAATGAGCCGCAATCGGCGAAAGGTCCGCATCTTCCCTCTTGCAGCTGCATCACTGATGTTAGATGACTATAAGAAAGATGTTTCGATGGTTTTTTTAATTCAGTTCCACCGTGAAGGACTACTAAAATTAGTCTTAGTTTTGGTTTGTTTTATTTCAAATTATATTGATTTTTCGTAAGTATAATCTTTTACATTCCTAAGAGGAGACCAAAATTACTTTTCAACATAAAAGAAATACATATTCTTTTAAATTGTTTAATACACTTTAAAAAAAAAAGCTAAATATGTGAATAAAGTAATAGGATACTAAATTTTCAGAAATTTTAACCTCCTCGCTTCCAACGTATCATATATGATACTCTTCAGTTTCCCTCCGTGGATCCCAGAAGCAAATGAGATACGGGAACTAAGTGTCGCTGCTGGCCTATGCGGCGTATCATATTTAATGTTTTATTCCAAATTTTATACCCGTATAAATTATGCCAGAATGCGGCTAAACCTTATTGAATAAAATATCATGATCTTTTACCTTGCTGTTGCGAATAATATTTATTATTTTATTCTACAAATGTGTAACGCGCGTTACTCACAACGCCTTGTTTAGAATTAAGAAACTTTTCATGCAATGCAAACTGCTTAAAAATTTTGTATGTAAATACTGCATTAAGATGTAATAGACAGTGATATTTAAATTCTTTTCATCATTATTGTGCGAAAATAATTTAAATATGTAAATATAATCATTGTTACTAATACTGCACATTTTGAATTTTAATTTAAACTGTAAGTGCTAGGATTTTCTGTTTATATTATATTAAATAACATATGCATAAATCCGAATATTTCGACGAAAAGCAGATTTTATAGGAATTATTTCTGCATGTTAAGCTAAATTGCGAAATGCGCCCGGACACACAGTGATGTTCAGCGCTTTAGGGTCACGGGCGCATGGGATAACTTCGTTCTCTCGATGTAGGTTGCGAAGAGGCTCAGCAAAAATATCACCCTAAAAATCGTGTCTGAAAAAGATATAAAAGATTTCCTCAGTTTTCGATATAACTACTATATTTCGTGACACACTGCTATTAGCAGTGCTTCGCAATCTCTGACAGTTCGTTCATCACTCAAATGGAATGGAATTCCCTTCCTTTTGTGCTTTATGTTTTCCCTCCCTAGTTTAACGTATTTTGTGTCGTGATGCTTCATTCCCGATCCTCCAGGCCGATGTTATGTCCAATCGCTGGTTCTTTCGTCAACATCACAAGGATCCCCACAAGTCTGCATCCCCTCCATCCTGGATGGTGGACAGCTCCGCTTGCGCGGGCTCCGACAAAGGGGCCTGGGAGAGTGGACCCCCATCCCCACCGAAGATCGAACTGACTGCTTGCAGTCCGACAGCGGGGCATATACCCCCGTTGTCTCCCACCAAAAATCTGGGACTGCCTTCGGTGCAACTCACGGCGGCGGATAGCCTGGACAACATTGCCCAACATATACCCAGGTGCTTATTATTTCTATATTTACGTATTTCAGTTTTAACTTCTTGTATGGACATTTCACCATATCATCGTTACCACGCCAAAAACACGAATCTGCAAGGATTGGGGAAAACGTGTGCTTTCAGATCTTATTTTGTGATGTTTTACTTTAATATAGAAAGATTAACTAAAGGAAATTATTTTGAATAAATCATAAAATCTATTTCCTCGGGACAGCTCTTTCGTATATTCGTGCTTCTGGCGTGGTAAGATGCATATAAAGGGTATTTTATATAAAAGATGTATATTCATATGTGTTTCTCTGAGATTTATTTAAACCAATTATTTTGTAGAAGATACGATTTTTCTTAAAATAAATATTTTGAAGATTCATGATTTGAGCGTGATGAGATGTATATAAAGAAATTATTTTGTAAAAAGGATTTGAAAAAGAGTATAAAATGGTATGTGTAATTTTTGTATTATATACGAACGTTCTCGTGTGAATAATTTCGAATGCATACAAAGGAATTATTTTGTAGAAACTGTCATTTGATTCTTCTGAAAAAATTCTTGTTGATTGTTCTTCTCTTCTTTACCTCTTCGTGATTTTACCTTTTGAGATTTATGTAATGACACCGCTTTGCTGAAAACATACGCATATGTGCATATTCTGTTATGCTTATAAAATACCGTGCTTCCCCCCTTAGCATTTTAGGTCCCCCCTTAGCATTTTAGGTCCAGATTCTGAAAATGTTAAACATATTCGTGTTACTTTCTTCCATTAGTCTTCCAAATCTTCCCAAATTTTTACAGATTAGTCCACGTAATGATCGTTTTCATCGCAAAGTACCTGCAAAAGTGCTGCTAAGCCTTTCCCTTCCAGCTTTTGAACATTATGCCAGCCTGATACAAAAATCGACTAATTACAGAGAAACAAATAATATCTGACCTTCAGTTTGCCATTTCGCTGGGACAGTTTTACATTCACCTTCTTTAATTATTATTGATAATTTGAGACATAAGGAGTAGTAAAGACACCAGTGAAAAACCGGTGAAATCCTTGTTACAGGAAAGTAGAAATGAAGACAACCTATTAGCTGTTGTAATTTTAATGTTAGTAAGTGTTAATATAATGAATGTACTTACTAGAATGTAGGTTTCCTTTAAGGAAATAATATTGAAAAAGTTACCTGTAGTTCATCTATGACTACTTTACATTGTTATATTTTTTCTGTAAACCCCTTCGTTTAGATATTACAATATTTGCATAATTTTCTCCTCTCGATTTTTGAACGATAAAAGAAGTAAAAATAAAAGGGGGTGAATATTTCAGAATGTGTGGGAATAAATATTGCAAAATCTGTGAATATTATAATATGTTCTCAGAACTGTCTCTATATTTCTCCTCTGCAGTTAAATAGTTACATTCAGAAATAAATATGCAGTGAAATGTCCATAGTACCATTATTTAAATGGAAAAGATGTTTTAAGAAAGAGATTTCTAAACATTATAAAATATTATGGTTGATATTATTTAAACGTGTTTTATTAAACTGATGACTATATTTACGAATTCTTTGAATTTTGAAATAAGATTTAATTGTTTTTTGTGTAGGTTTACAAATATTACATACATGGTGGATTTCCAACATCTTATATAAACAGACATAGTGACATTAGCTTATTTCGAATGACACAGTGATGCTGCATTTAGGTTTTAAAAATATGGTTTTTCTTGTTCACAATTTTAAGAATACGAAATAATGCATTTAATTAATTGCCGCTCAGATGGAAAATGTTTCCTGATTCTGACTGTGATTCCGAAGGATCGGGTGCGAATCCCGGTGAAGGCATGCCTGTAAACTGTCTGTCCCTTCATAAAAGGCAAGGTGTCCCTCCCACCTATTAGATGCCTCCGTAATAAAGTGACCACATCGTTTGGTCTTAGTAGTGGCCAATGTTAGTGTCCGCCATTGGGGAAAGAAAACAAAAACTGTTCAATTAGCTTTATCTTTTAGAAATCACACATTTATTTAGCACTAAATTAGGAACTTAAATATCTGTACATACAGTGGTGTCGCCTTAGGACATGCGATGCATGGCTTTAAATTTAAAATCGAGTAGCAAAATAATTATTGTTTAACTCTGTGATATAACAAATTACGATATATACTTATTTAATAGTATAATAATAAGTATTTTATCGCATTATGTAGAAATCATATCAATTATATATTACTAATATTATATCAATTATATATTACTCCTATATACTAGTAAAAGTTAGTATAATAAACTAACTTTATTACTAAGAGTGTAATTAAAATAGAGAGTACAAAAATAGAATATAATAAAATACTTAGTAATATCTTCCTTCAATGTTCCATATGACAATTCATTATACTATAAGACTACGGAGAATATGTTTTTCAAATATTTGAGGCAAAATACTAATTCAAGAAAAATAGCCGATGAAAAATTATTATGTTAAGGATAAGCTCTTCTCTTCGTTTCTTTTCATTTATTTGTTAATGGCAGAATAACTCCTTAGTATAAAGATAAAATAACCAAATTTCCCTTATCGATGACGAAATAATTTAAAGATGCCAGATACTTTAAGTGGCAATTCTTCCTTCCTTCCAGTAGACTTTGCATGTTTTTGACTAGACAGCGTCAGAGTCGGAAAATTTTACCACGGGCTGCTTTGCGTGTTCAAATCAATTTCAGAAGTTGCGGGGGAAAAAATTAACACTTTCTCAATCAGAAGCCACAGATTTTGACACGCATGTATGCGCATCAAATCAAGCCACAATCAAGCCACAGATTTTGACACGCATCTCTGCAGCTACAGAGAAGAGAATGATTGCCATTTCATTAGCTTAGGTGAAATTAATCGTTACGTTTTAGGTACGCCGGTCGTAAAGTTTTTAGCTAAAAGCTTATTATCACAATATAATAACTATTTGATTTAAATTTCATTAATGTTTTATTTCTGGGCTTTGAATTTCTACTATAAATGTTTTAAGGTTGTAATAGTTAATGTTTTCTAAAATCATTTCAAGAATGACTTAAAATAGAATGGAGGGTGATCTAATTCAAGACTTATTGAGCCTTTGATCTTGTTTTGAGAAAAACGAAATAATCAAAAGCGAAATAAACTTGCCCTACTTTAACCAATTTATCTTGTAAACATAAGGATAAAAAACAGAAATTTGTAAAACATTTCCGAGCTGTTCACTACACGAAAAATAGCTAGTTAGCTAGCTGTAAAGTTAAAGATTATTCTGCTGGCCTTTTCTGCTATTGGGTATTGACAAAAAATGTGTGAAAACTAAGGATGGATTTAGTACTTTTAATGTATTGTCAATATCCATCTCAACACATGGTCATATTAAAGCAAGTTTACAGTTTTCCAGGTATAGACGATCAAAACTAGATAGAGAAAGCAACAGAAGCAAATACCTATAAAGTATTATATGAATATGTTATCAAATTCGCAAGAGAATTCAATTTTTAATCAAAATTTATTAGACAAAGCAGTTAGGAGCAGCAGTTGTACCAGAGCAAGTAACTAGACTACACAAAGGAGTGAAAATAAAATCTGAAAGGTTTCAGATTTTAAATTACGTCCAAAGGGGCGGTTTTTTAAAGTTTTGTGTGTTACCTTTATTTATTAAGTATCATGTTCTTTGCACTTAAACCATAAAATTCAGTTCAATAGCAATGTCGCAAAACAATTTTAAAATGAGCATATCTATAGAATTTCCGATACACAGTTCCGCCCTCTGGAGATAAAAAGGTTTTCTACCCGTAGAATGTTGCCATCCTTAAGTTTGTTACTCAAAAATACGTTAACGTTTTACAAAATATGAAATCGATACTAAAACAAATTCCAGATTTCATATTTGGGCTTCCACATGCCCATATTCGCATTAGGATTACGTCATTCAAAATTCGATTGCTCTAGGTACCGTTGTTTTATCATACTGCGAGAAACATACATACATTTACGCAAACTTTTCATTATTTAATTTCTTCAAATATAATACAGGGCGAGTATTTGGTGGCAATGATTTGAAAAGTGATATGCCGTTTATAGGGTTCCGACGCAAAATCGCAAAACGAAAACAATAGTCCCTCAGGGACAAAGCCCGTATGGACTAAAAACAAGTCATTTTCATACATGGTTATAGATATGTTTTAAATCTGATTTAAGAACAGTCTGCATGCACCATTAGAAATTGCCGCATGTTTTTTTAAAATATAATCGGTATGTCTGCATTGTTTTCTACGTCTACAAAGAGAACTGATGCACTGAAACAGTTCATAGAGGAAAAAAGTACCTGAAGCTTCATCTTTAAGATGGAAGTTTTGTTCAAGGCGTATTAACACAGTGCATGGAATGTTTTTTTAAATTAAAGAGAACTGCGATGATTGGGATACTTTATGTGTATCACAAGTGCATGAGTTTATTAAATTTTTGGCTCAATGTAAAAACTGTTTTTTTCCCCTAGAGATGTTTTAATGATATTTTATCACTCAGGTGTATTTTTTGGATGTTACAAAAGAAAACCCTTGACACTGTTCACTCTGAGAAACCGATTACAAAATTTTAATATGTGTTTACATCACAGAGAAATGATTTTGAAGGCGTATGGGAACATGTCAGCGCACAAGAGACAAATGAATTGTCAAAAAAAAAAAAAAAAAAACAGAATCTATATTGAAAGATATGAAATCAGAGAACTTTATATTGAGATTTTAGTTAACAAATCCAGTCAAATTGCCAATAGATTTGGTTCCATTACTAAACTTGTGTTTATGAACTTCAGAATGAAGGGAACTTTGTTACTTACAATTATAATTTTTCTGAAATTTTGTTAAATAAATTAAATGTCATTAAACGCTTTTATTTTATAAAGTTTAATAATGAGCTGATTGCTTCATATTCTTTTGCAGAGTTTAAAAACATACCTGCACATGAACTAGTACCATCTATGAATACCAACAATTTTAATAA